AATTTGTGCAGTGGCTGCATCTTGCAGCCGCTTAGTAGATAACTCCCTAATTCCCACTGTATTAGGGAGTTATCTTCCAAAAGGTTGAAAGACCTAAATTGGTCTTTCAGCCAACTTTATTAATACTAAGTAAAGATTACTTAGTATTTGTAAATAATATGCCCCTACTCGCTATAACACGAGTAGGGGCATTTCAAGTAACAGTAAACACAATTGTCCCCCCAGCCCCCCCCCAGCCCCCACCTGTGCCGAGTCCTACCCCCTTGGCCCCCACCCCTGGGGACTATTGCCTTCCCCCCTGGCCCCCACCCCTGAGCGGCAGGTAGGGGCCCTTAATAGTAAGGGGGGAGACCTATTGCCTCCCCCCTTGGCCCCCACCCCTGAGCGGCAGGTGGGGGCCCTTAACAATAAGAGGGGGGAGACCTATTGCCTCCCCCCCAGCCCCCACCCCTGAGCGGCAAGTGGGGGCCTTTAAAAACAATAAGAGGGGGGAACCTATTGTTCCCCCCCAGCCCCCACCCCTGAGCAGCAGGTGGGGGCCATTAACAACAATAAGAGGGGAGAACCTAGTGTGTCCATACATTATAATGGGGGGGACCTACCTTCCTCCCCCCTGGCCCCCACCCTTGAGCAGTGGGTAGGGACAATAAAGATAATGAAGGGGGACCTACTGTCCTCCCCCCGGCCTCCAACCTTGATCGGTGGGTGGGGGCCATAAAGATAATGAGGGGGGGACCTACTGTCCTTCCCCCTGGCCCCTACCCCTGGGCCGCGGGTGGGGGCCATACTGTCCTCCCCACATCAAAGGTAACTAGGGGTCCCCAAGTCCCTAGTCACCCACCCACCACCCCCACCCAAATAAAAAGTTACCCCCTACCTACCCCCCTCACCCTAAAAAATAGTGAGGGGGGAATAAAATAACTAACCTGTAAAGAAAAATTAAACTTACCATTCAACATCTTTTTTCTAAAATCTTCATTTTTCAGCCCCCAAAAAGGCCAAATAAAAAACCATCATACCCATCGAACTGAAAATAAAATAAAAAATTTGAGCACAAAAAAAAACCTGACGAAAAAGAAAAAACGCGAGCGTAAAAAAATAATCCTTCTTCACCCATGGAGGGCTCTGCGCAGACTGAGCTCTGCAGGGCGGGGCAAGGCTTATAAAGCCTTGCCCGCCCTGCAATTAGGCTAAGAACACTCTGGTTGGTTTAAGCCAATCAGAGTGCTCTTTGTCATTTTACACAACGTGTGAAAATTCCAAATAACTTTCCCACGCTTTGTAAAATGACACAGAGCACTATGATTGGACGGATTTCAAGCCATCCAGAGTGTTCTGTGTCATTTTGCACAGTGTGGGAAAGTTCTTTGGATCAGCAAGTAGGGGCATTCGGGAGATTGACATATTGACCCCCATAGAGTGAGGGAGGACATGGGGGGCTTAGGAAGTGGCGGGGAGCACTGCTCCCTGACGCTTCTATCTTTACATATTACAAGGAGGGAGCTTTACTGAACGAACAAACGAACACTGATGCACAGTGTTTGTTTGTTTATCTGATTTTTCTATTCATTCATTCATCTTTCTGACGAATTAATGAATAGATGAAATTCCCGTTCTCATGCCCAAGTGTTTAACTGGGCATGTGCAGGAATCTCACAGTGCTATCTAGTGTGGGCAGATGACGTGTCCCACAGGGACTTCCTCTACCCACACAAAGATGGTGGCGCCCTGAATATAGGCCGGGGCAGAAAATAAAGAATAAAAAATAGGTAATATGGTGGGCATTTGGGGGTGACTAAGGGGTCAATTAGATGTAGTGGAGTCGGGAAGGGGGTTAAAAAAAACAGGATTCGGCCATGACAATGTTGCTTTAAAGGGATTCTATAGTGCCAGTAAAACAAGCCTGCTTTCCTGGCACTGTAGAATCCTGTGGTCCTCCCTTCCCTCCCGCCCGTTAAAACCCATTAGTCACTTACCTGGTACTATCACCGATGTCCCTCAGTGCTGGGTAAGGGGTCTTTATAGACTTTTGGCGCAAGCTTGAGGAGAGAATAACGAGCGCCAACAAGCAATACTACTCATCCCCTGTGGCTGACGACTCCACTCCTGAGGTACAGCGACAGAAAAAGCCCACACCTAATAGTCCGGAGGCAAATGGGAGGGTAACCCCCACTCAGCAACCACACACCATAGGGGCCTCATGCTCCTCGGGGAATGCACAAGCCCTGGCTCCTACTGGGAAGTGGTGGAAAGTCAGCGGTCCTGATGCAACAACTCCACGTCATAACAGCCGAAGGGGGAGATCTAAGGCAACAACTGCAGCAACGCCAACTCACCTAAGGAGACATGCCAGGCTACAGGCGGCTAGGTGAACCAACACGACGATACTAAAAGCAAGGAGGTCTGCTGGACGCCGCCGACAAGCTCCTGATGTGACCTACTGCCAAAGGCACAACTCACACACTCGGAGGGATCATACCGGTCACACCGAAAAGCAACATGAGGGAAGATCGCTATCCCAGGTGAAAGCTCATGCTACACCACAAGCTATTACTTACCTGGGCTCATCAGAGACAGACAAAGCTTTTCAGCTCTCTAGCTTGCCTGGACACTTCACAGCTCAGGACTGGGCATAGGGTAGCTTTTAATGCATAGGCCATAGGCCTCCCTCCACGCCAGGCCACACACAGGAGCACTAAAATCATATTTACAACACCTGGCTGAGCAGGCATCCAGAGCAATAATCATGCTCCATTGTCTTACTTTGTTTTATTTTGTGACCCACACGGCATAGTTACATAGTTACATAGTTACATAGTTACATAGCTGAAAAGAGACTTGCGTCCATCAAGTTCAGCCTTCCTCAGAAATGTTGTTGCTGTTGATCCAAAAGAAGGCAAAAAACCTGGTCTGAAGCACTTCCAATTTTGCCACAAACTAGGAAAAAATTCCTTCTTGACCCCAAAATAGCAGTCAGATGTCTCCTTGGATCAATCAGCTATTACCCCACTAATTAGAAATTATATCCCTGTATGTTATGTTTTTGTAAGTATTTATCCAATTTCAGTTTAAACATCTGTATGGACTCTGACAAAACCACCTCTTCAGGCAGAGAATTCCATATCCTTATTGTTCTTACTGTAAAAACCTTTTCTTTGCCTTAGATGAAATCTCCTTTCTTCCAGCCTAAATGTGTGACCTCGTGTCCTATGTATAACCCTGTTTATGAATAGATTTCCAGATAAAGGTTTGTACTGGCCCGAATATATTTGTATAAAGTTATCATATCCCCTCTCAGGCGCCGTTTTTCCAAACTAAACAGATTTAATTTTTGTAACCTTTCTTCATAACTAAAATGCTCCATTCCTTTTATCAATTTTGTAGCTCGTCTCTGGACCCTCTCCAGTGCCATGATATCCTTCTTTAGAACAGGCGCCCAAAATTGCACAGCATATTCAAGGTGTGGTCTTACCAGCGATTTATAAAGAGGCAAAATTATATTTTCATCCCGAGAATTTATGCCCCTATTTATACATGACAAAATCTTACTGGCCTTAGCAACTGCAGATTGACATTGCATATTGCTGCCTAATTTGTTGTCTATAACAATGCCCAAATCCTTCTCGTGTGTGGTTATCCCTAATTCACTACCATTTAGTGTGTAAGTTGCTTGTGCATTCTTAACCCCGAAGTGCATAACTTTGCATTTCTCTATGTTAAATTTCATCTGCCATTTTAGTGCCCAGTCCCCCAATCTATCCAAATCTCTCTGCAACAAAGCAATATCCTGCTCACATTTATTACTTTACAAAGTTTTGTGTCATCTGCAAACACTGATACATGGCTTTCAATGCCTATTTCAAGATCATTTATAAATATGTTAAATAGAAGTGGTCCCAAAACAGAACCCTGAGGGACACCACTTACCACTTTTGTCCAGCCTGAAAATTTACCATTAATGACAACTCGTTGTACTCTGTCCTTAAGCCAATGTTCTACCCAAGAACAGGAATATTCATCTAGACCAATTTCTTTTAGTTTGAAAACTAACCTATTGTGAGGAACCGTATCAAATGCCTTGGCAAAGTCCAAGTAGATCACATCCACTGCAACACCCTGATCTATACTTCTACTTACTTCTTCGTAGAATGCAATTAGGTTAGTTTGACATGACCTATGTTTCATAAAACCATGCTGATTATTGCTAATAACAAAGTTCTTCCCAATGAATTCCTGAATATTATCCCTTAATAGCCCTTCAAATATTTTCCCAGTTACTGAAGTTAAGCTCACAGGTCTATAATTTCCAGGCAAGGATTTTGAACCCTTTTTAAATATAGGAACAACATCTGCCTTCCTCCAATCCTCCGGTACAACACCTGAAACAAAAGAATCTTGAAAAATTAAATACAGAGGTTCACTTATTTCCCCACTTAGCTCCTTAAGTACTCGTGGGTGAATACAGTCAGGCCCCGGAGCTTTATTTACATTAATTTTCTTTAATAGCTGTAGCACCTTGTCTCGAGTTATCCAGTCACAAGTTATTTGCAAGTTTTTTGCAGCAATCATTTGCATATCTCTTGCCATAGGATCCTCATTAATATATACTGAAGAAAAATAGTTATTTAAAATTTCTGCTTTTTCCTGGTCTTCATTAGCTAATAAACCCAACTCTGTTTCAAGTGTACCTACACTTTCATTTTTTGTTTTTTTAGAATTGATGTACTTGAAAAAAATTTTGGGGTTGGTTTTGCATTCTTTAGCTATCAATTTCTCATTTTCTAGTTTAGCCACTTTAATTGCCTTTTTGCAAGTGTTATTGGCTTCCTTATATCTTAACTAGGATGCCTTTGATTTGTCTGATTTAAATGCTTTAAATGCCCTTTTCTTATTTTTAATCTCTTGTTTTACTTCTCTACTAAGCCACATTGGTTTTAATTTGTTTCTTTTATATTTATTACCCAATGGTACATACTGAGAAATGTACCTTTCTAATATATGTTTGAATAGTTTCCATTTATCCTCAGTGTTTTTATCACTAAGGAGTTTATGCCAGTCGATATGTTGTAGAGCTGCCCTAATCTTATTGAAATTGGCTTTTTTTAAATTATATGTTTTAGTATACCCCACCTGCTTTTGCTTTTTTGAGTTTATTTCAAAATTTACCATATTGTGATCACTATTTCCCAAATGCTCCCCTACTTGAATGCTGGTTAAAAGATCAACATTGTTTGTTATGACAAGATCCAGACAAGCATCCTGTCTAGTTGGTGCTTGTACCAGTTGTGACATAAAGGTGTCATTTAACACATTCAAAAACCTGATTCCCCTTGCTGAAGTACTAGTCCCTCTTTCCCAATTTATGTCTGGATAATTAAAATCTCCAATAATTAACGTGTTACCTCGATTTGCAGCTTTCTCAATTTGCTCTAACAGCTGTTCTTCCTCATTAATATTTACATTAGGTGGTTTATAACATATCCCAACCAATACTTGATTTCCCTTTGTTTTCCCCAAGCAGATATCTACCCATAAAGCCTCCACCTTTTCCTCGTCACACTCCACATGCCTAAGATTTGACTTTAACTCACGGTTGACATATAAACATACCCCACCACCCTTCTTGTTTTTCCTATCCTTCCTAAATAACGTATACCCATTTAAATTAACTGCCCAGTCATGTGTCTCATCCCACCATGTTTCTGTTATGCCTATTATATCATATTGTTTAGTGTATGCTATTGCCTCTAGTTCCCCCATTTTGTTATATAGGCTCCTTGCATTAGTAAGCATACATTTAATATTATCATGAGTCTTTTGTACTTTTTGTGAATTATCAATATTACATACCTCCTCTGTTCTGAGTTTTCCCCTCCCCCCATCTCCACCCCCTTTGTTCTGAGCTAAAGCCCATCTCTTTTCCATCATATCTCCATTTTCTAGATTGCTTTGACCCTCCCCCCCTACCACTAGTTTAAAATCTCCTCCAACCTTCTAGCCATCCTATCCCCCAGCACAGCAGACCCTCTTCCGTTTAGGTGCAATCCATCATGACTATACAGGTTGTACCCAAGCGCAAAATCGGCCCAGTGCTCTAAAAACCCAAAACCCTCTTTCCTTCACCAAGACTTTAGCCACGCATTGACCTCTCTAATCTCCCGCTGCCTTTCTGCTGTAGCGCGCGGCACAGGTAATATTTCTGAAAAAATTACCTTGGAGGTCCTTTTCTTAAGCTTACTTCCTAGTTCCCTGAACTCATTCTTTAGGACCTTCCATTTTCCTCTGACTTTGTCATTGGTACCAATATGGACCATAGTGCCACCAGTAATCCCCTTTCACCACAGTTAGGCAAGACTGTAATGCAGGGATGCTCATATTCTCACTCTCATCCACATATAATTGATGACAAGGGCCAATGGCATACTATCTCCTGTGTTAACCCTAGCATGTTATGTTATACTATGTTTTCATTAATTTTATTCAGCTCCTACCAAGCATATAAGATGCTCCATGTAATAACTTACTTCTCTTTCAACTTGTAATCACTTGGATCTTACATTCAGATCCACAGTTAAGCCTGCATTATTATTCATATAAAAATGTGCACTTTCCTCATATGCCATGACACAATATCTTGATGTATGTTCCTACTATGCTTGTTGCTGCCGTTATGGCATCTCAAGCCTGTATGTCAATCGTTGCACAATAAAAATAAATAATAATTAAAAAAAAGCAAACATCACATACAAACACACTTCTGCATTGAGTCGCAAACACTACACACAAGTACACGACTCCATTCCAATGTCAACAGTACATACAAAATACACCCCTACATGCACACACAAATATTATAGAGTAACATGCTTACCTTCAAATACACAAACACTGCTCACTAATACAACCCTCCAAGGATGGGCAAATGGTAGATTCCCAGCTGGCATAGTATCGTGGCAGTTGTACAACAGATCTTTTTGTCATTCTTGCACTAGAGAGGGGTCCAAAAATATTTCTCGCACCTGGTCACTCTATACATTTGTTCTGCCACTTTGTGCCTTTGTGCATGAAATGTATACTGTAACAAATTCAAACGATGCATTTCATTCTTATTGGTTGATCCCTTGTATTATTCCTGTATCCCATCAGGTCCAGAGGGGGCTGTCCCTGGACCTGAGATTTTGCATAAATACCGATCCCTGTGTGCCATTAAAAGCAGTTCTTGTTTGACCTTCAAATCGCAGCCTCGACTCATTTTGTGGGGAAAAGAGTATCCTAGCTGTACTGTAGCTAGTGGGATTGTTCTACATTTACAGGATCCTTTTGGTCGTCTAGTCGAAGCGGCTTCTCTCTCTCTCCACACCGGGATCCAGATAGTCCAAGCGGTCCAGTTTCCAGCTAGCCTGGGGTTAACCATAACATTTGGTGGCAGCGGTGGGATTGTCCTGGATTTCCTAGGAGAGATACCGAACGGATGGAGAGCGCTTATGACAAATTGAAACGCACGACCTTAAAGGACTTACTCAAAAGCCGAGGGGGGAACACCAGCAATCGTCCGAGGAGGGAGCTGATCGCAGAATTAACCGAACTGGATCAGAGCTTCACAATGGCAGAAACCCCAACCACGAGTAGTGACGAAAAGACCAGGATTGTTCGGGAGAGGCTCTCACTATATGGGCCGAACCCCTCTATGGAACTGGTGCAGCAACTGATGTCAGAAGCAGACGAGGACATACGGAAAGCTAGAGCCCACGAGCTCAGCTTAGTGACCGCACAACGCCACGCCGAAGCATTACCAATCATAATTCCTGCAGAGAACACCGGGAGGCCAAAGATACCCTATGCGGCTTTTAGACCTTTACTGGAGAACGAGACAGGAATTGATGAATATCTGGCCGATTTTGAGCGGCAATGTGCACTGCACCAGATCCCCAACCAAGAGTGGCCCAAGATATTGTCTGGAAAGTTATCCGGGCGAGCACTGGAAGCGTTTCGGACTTTGAGTGCTGAGGAAGTGACCCAGTATACGCTGGTCAAGGACACACTCCTACGGCGGTACGCTGTAACTCCTGACACATATCGTCGACAATTTTGTAGCACGAAAAAGAAGCCCAATGATATGCATATGGAATGGGCGCACCGAATGCGAAGGGCAGCAAACCACTGGATGAACGAGAGTAAAGCCGTGACCACTGAGGAAATTTTGCAATTATTTCTGCTGGAACACTTTTATAATGGCATGGAGCAACAGGGAAAGAAATGGCTGTGAGACAGACGACCTGCTACCTTAGAAGAAGCGGCCAAGTTGGCCGACGAGCATTATGATTCCCGTTTACACGAACCGATGAACTACCGAACCGCGGCACAAGTCGAACACAAGGACAATTACCGTACGTCTCCCCGCACCGATTTCCGAGCTCCAGTACCCGCTGGGCCCATACGGTACTCATGACCACCCAGTAACAACCCCTCTGACCGTCCCTGACCAACGTGTTTCAGATGCAAACAGCCAAGGCATCTCATGGCAAGCTGCCCTCTCAACACACCTCCCGGGTCATCTCGTCCTGCCAGGGCACTCTGTGTTAACCAAGAGGCCCCTATGGAGGAATATTTGGGACCGCTCCACGAAGCTGATCCTGTATCTGCCACTTCAGATAATAGCCAGAACCATCGGCAGAAGATATGGCTCGAGGGTCGCTCTACCGAGGGGCTACGGGACAATGGTGCTATCATTACACTGGTCCAGAGCCATTTGGTGCCAGAACATAAACGATAGGGACAGACTGTGGCTGTTAGAGTGGCGGGGGGAGATGTCTATAAGATTCCTACCGCTAAAGTACACCTGGATTGGGGAGTAGGGAAAGGGGCCGTGAATGTGGGCATAATGGATAATTTACCTGCGGAAGTATTACTGGGCAACGATTTGGGCCCCGTGACTTCTGCCTATGCTCCAGTATACAACAATGAAGTGAATCCAGTGACCACTCGAGCACAAGCTCAGACGCAGCGAGAACCCTCACCAGTGCGGGAGACACAGGTAAGACTTACCCCGAGCTGGACTGACCCTTTAGGTTTCATTCCCTGGGACACCCCAGCTACTTTTGAGACCGAGTCTAAGACCGACCCGACCTTGAAAAAATACAGAGAAAGGGCAGAGACTGGAGGGGGCGGGCTAGATAATGAAACATTCTTATTGGAAAAAGGGAAGCTGTATCGCTTGACTGAGAAAAAGGGACAGAATAGACGACAGCTGGTAGTGCCCCACAAATACCGCCAAGAAATACTGAAGGTAGGACACGACATTCCGTTAGCAGGCCACCTAGCTGTGACCCGCACACTAAACCGCATCACCCACATGTTTTTTTGGCCAGGGGTACGCGCTAATGTCCGAACCTATTGCAATACATGCGATGTGTGTCAGCGGGTGGTGAATATGCCCATTGTAGAGGAGCCATCATCAGGGTTGCCATAGACTTAGTAGGGCCACTGGCTACACCTAGTCCCTCTGGTAAGCGATACATTCTTACCGTAGTAGACTACGCTACCAGGTACCCAGAGGCGGTAGCCCTATCTAACATTCAAGCGGATACGGTAGCTAATGCGCTAAGGAAATCCTGTCTGACCAAGGCACCCAGTTTACAGCCGAATTGACACAGCAGCTCTGGCAAGTCTGTAAGATTAACTCTCTTGAGCTCTCCCTATCACCCACAGACGAGTGGGCTTTGTGAGAGGTTCAATGGGACCCTCAAACAAATGCTCAAAACGTTCACCCAGGAGTACAGAGACTGGGAACGTTTTCTGCTGCACCTCCTATTTGCTTATCGAGAGGTGCCCCAGGAAACGACAGGGTTCTCTCCCTTCGAGTTGCTATACGGACACAAGGTACGGGGACCCCTAAACCTGATCCGAGAGCACTGGGAGGGAGAGATGAGACTTACGGTATCCCCATTGTACCATACGTGCTAGAACTCCGGGACCGAATGGAGCAATTAGCCAAATCCGTTCAAGCTAACCTCCAGTCGGCCCAGAGGAGACAGAAGGTATGGTATGATCGGGAGGCACGCAAGAGAATCTTTACCATAGGGCAAAAGGTATTAGTACTTAAGCCGGTTAAGGCAGACAAACTTCAAGCCTCCTGGCAGGGGCACTACCAAGTTGTAGAGAAGAGAGGAGACTCCACTTACGTGATAACTAGCTGCCATGACAACAATCTTAGAAAGACGTTCCATGTAAATATGCTCAAAGAATATTTTGAGCGACCTGAGAACGTGACAGCGGTATGCTGTCCCCCCCACGAAGACCCAGACAGCCTACCCATTCCAGACTTATTAGAAAAGAGTCCCCGCACAGATATAGTG